CGTGCGAGAAATGTATCTCTAAACCTTGTAGTTATAAAGAGTGTTCTTCTCTGTGCAGTTGACGTCCCGTAAAGGGGCATATCCAGTGATACAGGGGATACTTCCTAGTCGTTGGAACCGACGTGATGATCTTTCGCGCTTGGGTACACCTTTACGATAAACTGAAAAAGGCTGTGAGGTCTTACAGCTAAGTGGTCCAATTCATTGCCACCACTAAATTTTCGCCAGATTTGACGCAAATAGAATTCATGATCGCGCGGACGACCTGGTGCAATCACTGAGCCCCTACGGGAGATTTCAGTCTAGAACTAAAATGGCACAAAAAGGGTATTTCTGTCTGCACCTAATCGATTTAAGATATCATATGATAACCTACGGAATTGCCAAACAAAGACTTCAGCAACTGAGGGTCCCTTTCGCTCATCGGCTGTTGAAGAAGTGTTATAGTTTCAATGTATGTCAGCTGCAGTTCCCAAAGCAGAAGAACGTTCGTGCATACATACTTCCACAATAACGTGAGTGGGATAAGGTTTGTTTACAATTGGACATCGTGTGGCTCTCCGGACACTGCGCGAAGACGTCCTTAAAGGTAAATTTTTGCAGTGACATCGCTTCAGTTAGGGCTGTTCTCGGGGCTTACTGTTTAGTATTATCAATTTAATGAAAAATACATTTGTCGACAATACAGCCCTGTCCTGTAAACCTGAAATAGAACGACCAGCCGCTGTGACTAAATAGTATTAAGAGAGGCAGTTCGCAAAACGAATACTGGCAATAACTGGTTCGTATAAAGGTGCGGTCTAAGACGTTTTGCAAAATACTACGTTATTTAGAAATGGCTATTTTAGGAGAAAAATACGAGGGGTTGAATGTGGATTTTGAGGGTACATTAGTGCAGCGTGTGCGATATACTGAAAAGGGAAGAGGAAAAAATTCCTTAGTTCAATTAGTTATCCTATTTGAGCGGTACGAAGCAGTTAGAGAGGAATATTTTCCATAGCATGTTTACGTTTTCATAATTCATGTTGCGAGCTTCATGTTACGTTTGATATACCAGCAGCAGCAGCAGCAGCAAAACACCCTCAACAATTTCATTTTGCCAGTACCTCGCGAAGGGTTTTTACATAGAACGCTTCGTGCGACTCGGTTATTAACAGATATCGAATCGATTTCAAGTCTTCCCGACCGCAACATGGGACGAGTTTTTTTTGACAAGGCTGCAAGAAATTTACGAAAGGCGAACAGAAAAATGACACACATTTTAATCCTGTTTTTGTTACGGACATATGTGTTTATTTACTAACTCTTCATTTCTCTGTTAGGTTAGGTTGGAATAGGTAATTAACTGTAAATTAATGACGACATCTGCTGCAGTTGACGGCTTGATTTTAGACAACTCGTTTTTTGTTGTTATCGTGTCGTTTTAAATACAATAACAACAACACAAAGGAGTTTCTGCCTCCAGCAATATCCTGTTGATTCTATACCGATTCGATACTAATAATAGTGATCAAAGCGCATTACTCATCTAAAGCTATTCAACGAGCGGTCGATTACCGATTTTTTTTTGCTCATTCTGCTTTCACGGGTATCTACTTCTCTTTATATGTGTGTATATATACGGGTCTATGTGTATGTGTTTGTTGTATATAATTGATCTACAGTATTAGAGAGATTTGTTGCCATTCAGTAATGTTTCTTCTTTTTATTATTACTGTCAGTATGCTTTTTCTTCGTTGGCTTTTCACCTTGTTTACGTAATCGCTAATGGGTCACTTTTCTAGAGTTTTAGAATTCCTGTTTTATCTATTTGTGTGTATATATGACATTTTAATAATTGTTGTGTTGTTTTACACATTACAACAGCAGTAATATCTTGTGCTGTTACAATGATATCTATTACTTAACTGATAACATGGTCGTAGTAGTTTTGTTTGTCGTACATAATACTCAGATACTATTTGTACTTGGCATGTTCAACACTTAATTGAAGGTCATCGTATTCCCTCTCAAAGAACAATTGATTTTTTTCCCCAATGTTACCTTTCCTGCGTGCGTTTATCAATCGTCCGTGTCAATCGAAAAAAATCATTACACACGAGTACAGGCACACGTCGTTGCATACACGAAAACGAAAACCCATTCTAGTTGTCTTCTTAGCAATAAATATGGACATTTAGTACAATGATCTCTAAACTGACGGCAGGCCAACCGCAACGTATCGTTCAAAGCGTGCTTGTATTAATAATAAGGAGCTCATAGTGGTGACGGATCACAAACGAAGCTGTAAGTATCTTCGATAGCCTTAAGACTGTTCAGGATATCAGTGAATCAGCCAGACTGGAGTCATCCTATCAGTCAGTTTGAACAGATGAACCTTCGAGCGACCTGTGGATTTTTTACAAGGAAAGACTGAGCCAAAGTTTACTGTGGTCAGTTACATCATGCTACAGTTGCTCTTACCATCGGGGACAAAAGGACTAGCACACAAACGCTATATAAGTGTTGTTAGTTTATTTATTGCCACGTATGTGACAAAATCATGGCGCCAATGGCGCTCAGTGCACGGAAGTTCGAAACGTAATAGCCCACTGCGGAGACAGGAGCCCCTTTAGATAAGTGTTTCATGTTAGTAAGTCGCTATCTGTGCCATAGTTCAGAAGGAGCGGGCCTAACAGATGTCATATTGATTTATATTATTATTAAGACTGCCTTTTTAAAAGATCGAACTATCGAACCTATTCTGTCGGCTACTTCTGAGCGTTTTCATGCGTCGCTCAAGTCCTATGCCTTCGAGTCAACGTCAGCCCTTTCAGAGGTTGCGTTAAAATGCTTGCAGATATATATACGTACGCATATACTATGTCATCCGTTAACGCTTAACGTAAACGTTTCTAAACGGTGCATATGTGTAATTATCGGATCGGCAGTTGCCCAAGCTGCTGTTCGTTGAGAGAAAATATGGTGATAACTCAGATCAGAGATGATTTTATATGATGAAATAAGCTTTCCCATCATTCAAACAAATAATGATTATCGGGAGCATTGTTCCATCATTACAGATGGATACAAAAAGGCTCAACTACTGTCAAATACCCGACCTTAACTAGATATATTTCGCACTTCTGGATAATGGATTTCCTTAGATGATAAAAATCGATGCACCGCTATATAGGATATTTATGCGGATGCCCGTTTAGACGACGCACGTTTTGGGGCACGTAGATACGATTTAAAAGCATAAAAAAACGTTATACCCTGTTCAAATACACGCGTATATGTGTCGTTTACTTGTCCTACACATGTATTCGCTCAGTTCGATCCTATATTTTAAGCCTATATCGGATCATGTAATGATGTTCTCATACACGTTCATTGTCACAGTGAAACAGATCACTGTTCAAAGTTCTTACTTTAACAAACTAATAGTGAACGAGTGAGTAGGTATGTTCTTTCAAGACCACCAACATCACGTTAATGCCAAACTTAGAATTTTCCCAAAGTCAAGGACTGTTAATAGGCCACGCTATCCATATGCGCAGCCTGCATTGGCTACCTAGTTACACTGAACAAGTAAAATACTGATTGCTTTCTACACTAAAACTACTGTATAATCTTCTACCATCAGATGAAATCGCTGCCGATCGAAGTAGACGCGCTCAAACTATGGAATCAAATACACCCACAGCCTGGGGCACATATTTGAGCAGATTCTAAAGACCACCGTTATTAGTTCGTTACCATACCTACACTAGGACAAATTGATTTTTTTACTAAAAGTTAGTCGATTTTTTAGCATTTTTTTTTCAATTTGGGCAAATGAGGCGTCTTCGTTAAGGTACTAGAATTATACATTTTAACACCTTTGACAGGGTCCATTCCACAGAGAATTATGAATTCAACTAACAGTAATTAAGCATTCGGTGCTTTCAATGAAACTTCACAACTCATTTGGCCGTGGTGAATATAGGTCCAGTCGCTCAACTCAGCCAAAGATGAAGGAAAACAATACTATGAATTTCTTTCATTTCAAGTACATCATTCCAATAACCAATGGGGTTCACAAATAGAGTTTCTGGAAAAAGTACCGTGAGTCGAGCGGCAGTAATTTTACACAACTGTCCTATTGTAATTATTCCTATGATCGGCATTCTTTCGTCGCTTGGAGAGGACCAATTAATTGCACCTGCTGTACCCCCCTAAAAGCCTGCCATTCGTAATGATAGTAATCTCATGTTACTAGATAATCTTCAGCTCACTATTATATATAAAAAAAAAATCCACTTAAACAAGTACGACGACCTATCGTTTTTGATTCTTGATATTTTATTGTTTGCCGAACTTTGGCGGCGAACTTCCACCGGATTAACTTCATTTGATGATCTATCGGACTGACCCAGAACTACAACTTCCGCATCGCAGTGTTCCTCTATAAAACTAGTAAAATTTGTTTGACAGGGACTGCTTGAACGGCCTTAAGGTGAACGAGTTCGCAACAATCGATCTCTAAAGCTGGGAGAAACAAGGGAATAGTGGATGACTGGAGATTTTTCTTATGTTTCCGCGAAGACATTGAACATATTCGCATACCATATTTGGGGGTATTTCACGGCTGCACGCCGTCATGGCCGAAAACAAACTCTCATTTGAAGTCTAACCCATTGCTTTAGCTTTATGATAATTATCATTTCTACGATACGTAATGCGGTAGAGTATGATAGAACAACAACTATGTACATATGTCATCTGTTCAATCTGCCAAATACACTATTATGTTCATTCACGTTTCTAGAACTGACATATCTACAATGTATATATATATAACTTCCATTTTTCTAGCCTGCCTTGGAGGTACGCCAGAACACTGAACAACTGTTATATGCGTATTTACCGTATTTTATCATAGGGGGACTTAGCTACCCATTTAACTAGCTATAACAATAGCATTGTAAATGTACGAGTAATACCAGCAACCCATAACATTTATTACGGCTCGATACCTATTTAGATACGCATCATATAGTAGTACGATGATGATAAAGGATCGTACCGATTAGATAATACCTTGAACATAAGCAATGCTCCGATCATTTTTTTTTTATCTCTATTTAGCTCTGTTCCGGAGAACGTTAACAATATGCTACCCGTTCCTGCAGCGTCCGTCACGCGTACACTATCACGAAGAATGAGCCACTGCCAATTTCTGTAGAAGTTATATATGCCGGTTTGTGCCTCATTGGTGATGGATTCAAATGGCTCTCTAATTATGGAGTTGATTATTAGTAGTATTAGTACTAGTTTTCTGCTATTATATATACACACACACATGTATATATACATATACGTATAGATGACACTTTCTCTAAAGAGTAATAGTCATAGCACGCCACTAATGCACACGTGACGAGCTGTTCTCCCCTCAGTGGACAAGTAAGGGGCGAAGGCTGTTTTACCAAATAAGTGTCAATCAATCGAAGGGAAACTGTCAGATGACGCTCTTGCAATCCAACACTGCTCCACCGCCAGTTAATGATAGCGATATCCACGTTGGCCGTCGTCCATGCGAAAATCGACAGGGCAGAGGTAGCAGGATTTTAGTACACAGGGATTCGTATTGCCGTATCGTGTGACTTTGTGCTTCACTTCCCTAGATCTCCTTGTTATACACAAAGATGCACTTACCTTTCTGTCCAACCATGTAAACACCTTCGAAGCATATTAGCGACCTTATACGGTGTTACCTCATAAAATATAGCCGCTCTTTATTAGCGTTTCGTCTGATTTATATTTCGAAGTATAGTAGTTTATAACGATATATACGGGCTGGCCACTGCACTGCAATCTTTCGTACACCCAATCTTTTTTGCGTTTCTCTAACAAGAGCCGAAGTTGAGGATCAGGTTGTTATTATTACTGGTATATATAGATAATGGCCGTAGGAACGCTGTTACCGATTTGTGTTCACTGCATGGAAGCAAGCATTGTTCATCCGGGAATGAAGTGATCCTGCCAATGCAATCATCACTTCGTTTGAGACTGCATCGTTTTCGACCTATGTGTGCAAGCCTCCTATTATTCGAAACTGTTATCGTGTTGACTGGATCGTTGGCCAGGTTCCGAACTTGAACAGGAATATCGGCCTTCCTTTGTTTGTTCCTGTGTGTAGTTCCACCGACCGATTATATACGTGGGACATAGCTGCAATGTGCTATTCAACTACTGTTGCTTAGATATTAATGTACTGCTACTTTTATGAGCATCGGTTTGCATGCACTATGCCCGACGCGCCACCCTGCATTCTATGACTTGTCCATCTCTTAAACAGCTCGGATATCCCGAATATGTATGTCTGTCTTTACTTAGTAATTTCTTATATTCCATTGTGTTTCACAGAAATAACTGCCATTCCCAGAAACCGAAGATGGAAACATATTTATCCATTTAGTAGCGTCTTCAGGGGAGAACCAAATCGAAGGTACGAAGCCTTAATAAACCTTCGATTCTCATTTGCATCGTAGTGCTCAATCAAGTCAACGTACTGTGCATAATCTTTTATAAACTGAAATTTCAAGTAGCGCCTTGAACATCATCATGTGTGTGCCTATTCTTCCGTATGTCTTTAGCAGTTGTCCTGTCTATTTGCTTTTCCTTTTTCTATAACAATGAAACGATCGTACTGGAGTATTAAAACTGTTATAAAGAGGAGCATTGTCCTTTGCGTCATGTTCTATTAGGGGTTGTTGCTGCCACTGTTGCCCCCGTATTTATGGCTGGGTGTTGCGTACGAATTAATGCTGTTATTAAATGCTATCCCGGTATTGGATCCAGCCGCGTTAGGGCTACGCGGCGGTAGCGGATATGATGACGTTCGTTTCGCTGATCGACGCCTCTTTGGTAAAAGGCCGTGAAAACCAAAATACGCTCCGCCTGGGCCGCGCACCGACGATGACAATAACATCCGTGCGTTGCCCTGGGCCGGCCGTGCTGAAATCGCTGATCCGGGTGCTCGAAGATCTGATAAATGCTGTGCGTATCCGTCAGTTAAGGGCTGAAAACAGAGACATGGTTAAGCACCAAATATATTTGAAATGGTTAGAGTTGCGTCGGATAGAAACATCTGTATTATTTAAGTTATGAAGCCTAATAGATTTTCGTAGTTTACGAACAATGCTGAGGGATGCTTTGCTTACGATGTACGATAGTCCTTTTCTTAAAAATGTTATTAATGATTTGCTGACCGTACACCGTAGTGTAAACCCGCCGTCCAGACCGCATGATCAAACATAGATGGTCCTAATGGATAAGCTCCTTTTCTGTGTGACGAAAAACTCAACAATTTCCAAAACTTCGACACACAAGGTAAAACTAAATGAAGCTCATGTTATTAGACTAACATTACCAATGAATTTTATTGTTGAGGTTAGTAAAGGTAAAAGCAACATTATTACTGTGCTTACTGTTGCCTGCGACTGAAGCTTTTTGGCAACCTTTCCTGCGATGAAAATTTTCTCCGGAGCGATCCCTAGTGCTGAATAGACACTAATGTCTTTCGCCGACCCATAAGCGGCATGGTAAATAATCTCCGCCTCGTTTTGCAGCTTACGAAGATAGTCAGTTTTGTGTTGTAATGGGCCCGTCGATAAACCCTCAACGAATGAGACCAATCCATGCGGGAAATTATGTTGTACCAACCAGGCCACGACCCTTCGCTGCTGCATATCGGGCCTCCCTAGAAATTGGAAATATACATACAATGAAAATAAGTTATGTATCTTGCACCAGCCTCCTGCGAACCACTTAATAAGCAAACATTTAACAAAAATAATAACAAATGTTATTCTGTTATTTTTGTCGTATGTAAGCTTCTGTGAATCCGTAGGATTCGAATTTACGAGAGCAGCCCCACACTAATACTGGACGCAAGCATCGACGAGCTAATTTTTTGTGATCACGATTATTTAAATCCATCTGTGTCTTAAAAATAACGTCCGTGAAATGATCGCGGAAGCGACGCTCAACGACCATAGATAAATAATTAAAAGAAAAAAAAAAATGTAATTATTTTGTGTTAAGTTACCGCTAGGACACCATTTTGATGTGCGCCATGGTGTACCAACACAAAGCATTATCAATCCTGAGTAGATCTCTTAACAATGCTTGAAGGTGGCAAATTTTTCTAACATCTGAAAAAGTCTATCACACATTATCAACCAAAAATTATACTATATCATAACAGCTGTATAGCCCCCCATCCTAACTAGCCATATAGTCCCCATCTTGAATGTAATGGCCATCATGATACTACAAAAATATGGAATTATTATTCACAGTTTAAGAGACGATTCGAAATGGGCTTGGAAAGGGACTGATATTTTCCAAAGTTGAAGGGAACGTTATCCACACGTACGACCATAGCGAGTATATGCGATGCGATTTCTGCAAAAACGATTGCAAATGCTAAAGAAACTGAGCGCTTCTTAAAATTAGCTCCTTCTTCGTCGTCATCATCATTTAGCCCTCTGCAGTAGCTACTATGTGCAGTGCTTTTTAAATCCTTATTAAAAAAAGTTCCATTCTACGTGCACATGTATACAGATGGATGTTGAGTCACTCGATCTCTCGACTCGGCAGGAACACCCCGACGGGTGTGTGTTATTCTTGAACGATTAATTTGTTTCTTTTAGGTAAACAGACTGCTATAATCCGACCCTCTATAATCGACATACAGCTCTATATGCGTACCTGTGATATATATGATTAAATATCCGAGTTCCTGCCAATGTCGGACAACATCTACGGCTCCTGCGCGCACTTTCGGATCCCGCCCAGACACCGAAACGGAAGCGGTGAATGATCCGTCGATTGAAAATACCACCGCTTCGGTTTTTGGCGGTACCACAGTTAGGAAAAAATCGACTGTGGTGTGGTCGCCCCTGTAAATTCGTCCAAACGAACGTTAAAATGCAGTATTCGAGTAAGTGGACCCCGCATCCTCAAACACACAGATTGCAAGATGAATGTTTTTGCAAGTTTTCGGCAATATCTACACTATATATGTCGATCAATGGAACAGAGACGACGGATTGGAGCCGTTTTTCTTGGCAATCTGGACGACCGTACAACTAGGGTGTACGATTTTGTGCTATTTAGCTGATCATCTGCAATGGATCAGGGAGATCGATTAAAAAAGCGCTCAATAATTTCGTTTCCGTTGGTTAGATCTACTTATGTACGTAGTACATACCTGACCACCATCTTGACGGGATGTAGGCCGCAGGACAAAGCCTTATCATGGGGAATGAGGAAACTGACACGTCCGGACTTGTCCGTCTGTTCTGTACCAAGAAGTGTCCACTCACCAGTGCGGGTATCCCGCATCACGTGGATATCCACCTGATATTCAATAACAACAGCGGATATCCGGTGAAGCAAAGTGAGCACCAACTAACAAGTAAGTCAACCGAACACGTGACCGCGAAAATTAAATTGTCCGCGATATTGGAGCGACGTGTCCAGCGCATACATTCCCTCGTCTACGACGATGTAAGGTATTCGATTTTTCATAGAGGAACTTCGAGGCTCTCTCATTAGAGCACTGTTCTGCGAAAAACAATTTCCTCACTTATCTGGCTCACTACACTGGTTTACTATCATATAGAAATGCCAACCTTTTCTCCGCTCAGATTGACCATGTCAAGCGGCCCATACACAAAGCGGGCAGAAAGTTGCTGAGGAGCTCCCTCTTTAACGATAACGTCGTTGGCACGATGGTTTGCGGTTACGTTCTGTAAGTGAAAGCATCCCAGACAGATGTAGCAAGAGAACTGATAAATGGCCTGCCAATATCAGCCTATTAGCAAGGATGAACCAAAAAAAAAATCAAAATTTGAGTAATTCTGCAATAGCTTCTAAAAAATCGAGTCCCTTGACCTGTCCGTACCTCGTGTTGCGTTATTAACAGTATTCCATAGAGCAACAATATTCGGTCGGATAGTTTCTCCATCGTAAGGTTTATTTTCGGGCACTCTGGTAACGTACAACAATTGCTCGAAAAACATTTTAACACGTAATTTAATCATCGAAATTTTACCTTGATCTTGACGGAAGTTCTCTTCTTATTCCATTTCTCACGGGGCTGTCCGGCCACAAATGAGAAAGTTGGCGCATCGCTATCGAGACACCGCTGTACAGAGTCGCATCTCACCAACTGTCGGATAACAAAGCTCGCCACGTCCGATGATTCCCAATACGATGCGTGGAATAGATGCGGAAGTGACTGCGCCGGGAAGTTGGCCAACCCCTCTGGACAATACAGGGCATAGTCGATACGTTTGTTGCCCCACCATCGGCTGCTGACTGCAGGACCGTATCACCACGACGATGAGAACAGTTATTCATATGCCCAACAATGCCAGTCAGCAGAAAAGATACCCCACGCGCATCAGGATGGAGAAAACGTTATTTTTTGGTTCTGATGAGCTTTCCGCTTGGCTCGGACTAACAGAGCGCCTTTAAACGACGCCGCAGTAAACAAGATAACTAAGAAATGAAGTGACGGACTCATGACTATGAGGTGTCGGACGCAAATCTTAGCTGAAGCTTGGATTTTTTTAAGTTACTAATTGACGCTGAGCGTTCCATTTAATGCCTGCGATGGTTATTATACTTCCTGCTCGTAAAAGCTTCTGAATTGGATTAAGCGGTTTTAGCCTTCACTAGAAAGAAAAAAGGAAAATGTATATTTGATAACAGCCAGTTATAAAGCAGAAGCTTTGATTAGTATGAGAAAGTTATAGCCATGGGAGTTCCAGAACGTCTAATTTCAACTACTGGATAAGGAACGGACTGACTTTTCGATAGGTGGCATTATTATTACCATTAGAATAGATCCTAGTGACACGCGGTTGTTGCGCCAAGCTTTATGCTACTCGTACCACACGACCAGCCATTTCTATACTACAAACATGCACTCTAACTGTCAGCAATTGCAATTTCATCAGACGCTCTTTACAGAGACTTGTATCCTCTAAAGCAATGTTACAGAAAGCTGCAGACAGCGTCGCTATTATTTTGTACATTCTGCTATGAGTGCTCATCTGCTTGAATTTCATTTGCCTGGGCTGTTTATTTGTTCAGTTCTTTGTCTATGACAATTTAGTCTCTACAAATCAAGTTGAATTTTGTGCTTCAGCCAACATATCTACCTGTCAGCACCGAGATGCCAAACCCATTGTGTAGCAACGATGTGTGCACTTCAGAAGGTACAAGACAGCAAGCGGACGTTCTAGCGTACGTAATAGACGTTAGCTATCATCAGTGTTCATATCCGTGTTGCTTCCTAACACCAACTAAGGCAGTCTTCAGCTGTTACGTTCGGTACTTGATCGGGTGTGTGTGAGCGCCCTTCGCGCAATTCGGCAAATAAATCTGCCCAGTTATGCACGCTAGGCAGATGACACCGTTAGGTATAATCCTATCAATTGCAAAATAACCCAGCAAGATGAATCTCTTCGTTTTACAGTGGGTACAATCTAGGACGGGAAGAGGACAGACGCGTCTCGTCTTGCAGCTCGTTGCAGCTTATCTCATTGCAGCCATTCACAGGCAATGCAGCAACATTTACACGCCAACAATAAAAGAGTGTATCGCTTATCGTTATCACCGGGTTCTGTTAGAACCAACATTCTGGCAATCGAATCTAGTTGTCATAATATAGCAAATATAGCACGAGCATTTTGCACCAGCAGGTGTTTCTGTTCTCACGTGTTTGGATGGTGGATAATGGCACGACGGCGTCGGACAGGCCTGACATCGTCGATGAGATTGAAGCTTCACTTGTTCGGCGTCCACTAGGGCTCGGCGCTGGCGGCGTAGGTGTCGGAGCCTTGCTGCAGCAGGTGCTACCCCCACCGCCGCTGCCAATGCCACCGCTGCTTGACAATGGGGTCTCAGTGGCAAAAACCCCTGGGGTGCTGTTTCCAGTGATTGGCAGCGCCGGCGTCGATTGAAGTGTGCCAAATGGAGGTGCCGGTGTTGAGCTCTGACTATGCTGCGCCCCGCCGCTTCCTGTCGCTGCCGCAGTTGTATCGCTGAACAGGTGTGCGTGGCTCTGCATGAATTCCACTACAAGCGACGAGGTAGGCGGGGGGTGGGTGTTCGTTCGTTGTGGTAATTGATGTGTCATCAAGTAATGAGGACAAATTTAGTGCGAATGCGTGACGGCAGTTTAAAGTTGTGCATGCATGAAACAGCAATAGCAGTAAGCGGTATAGTCCAAGTAATCGAACATATATAACACGTGTATATATATATATATATATAGGAAAGTGTGTGCGCGGCTGATTAAAACAATGATATCAACCATAGGATCCGAGATTGAATATTCACCACATATGAATAGATGCTGAATAGCACCAAAATCGAAGTCGTTAATCAATAAAACAGTAATAAAAAGAATTATTAAGGGCTCTCCTTTGGACCAGTACTGAAGTGCGTGAAGTGTATTATTCATCGCGAAGAAATGTTAAAGAGCAGCATTTGCACATAACTGTGGAATATGGGATTTCAGATAAGTTGAAATACTGGCCGGTTTTTGGCCACCCTGTGGGTCGGCAGGTTGACAGTGGTGCTAGGCGTGAAAAAACATACGCTTATTGCATCGGCGACTGCCAAATATTCACGCCGTTAGTATCAATTTGTTTTTGCACGCCCCCTAAACGTTGTTGAAGCACTTGTATGTCCCAATACGTCACAGCCTTACTCAATCATTATTATACTAAATGACATAAGACGACAGTGACCCTACGTAGAACTAACGTAAATAAATAAAGCACATGTACATACACACAGCTTATATCTATACTATAAAATATTTACAAGGTACATTAACGTTGAGATCTCATAAGCTGACAAAGGCACTCGGACGGTGCCAACAGATGGACAACATATTAAAGTATTCTTTCCATCAATGATGATGACTAACATACAGTGCCCAATATAGTTAGTTCGCATAAATCGTCATTCCCTTTCTAAAGTGTGTAGCTCCTATATGTACTTGCCTTGTGCCGTGCACCATACTGTCTGGTGCATATGTATGTATAGATGCATGATAAATGAGTGAATGTTATTATATATTCCTACGTAGTGTCTGTTTTTGTTAATTAGAGCAAATTGTGCTAGGTATATTGCGGAAACACTAAAAATATATAAAGATACTTAAGAAAAAGGCATTATGGATAAGATTACATTGGAGATGTGGCTTTGGCCGTATTGCAACGGTGAAGAAGAAAACACCGACTCCTTTTATAAACAGTGAGAATTCCCATCGTTCTGTTCAGAAAAACGGTACAACTTCAGTGTTATACAGCGAATAGTCCAACATAGAACTGCTATGCAGCAATAATTGTTTGCGTAGCTAAAAGGAAGGGAGGTATTTCGTCATAAGGAGAGTTGACATTCATGAGCGACAGTAATACATTTTTCCAAGTTTTATGCCCCGTACTTAAGCCATTGACCGTTGCCCCCAGTAATGTTATGTACTAAGATGTCTGAAAACACCGATACTCACAGAGATGTATAGGTTGGCCATCGCCGAGCGGATACTTCTGAAAGCGCGGCACGGTAACTGGAGGGATCTGGGCAAACTTGGCTGAAATCAGGGGTTCGACCCGGAGACCAAGAAGATCCGTCGGATGGAACAGATTGTAAACCTACGTGAAACGCACGAAATTAGGTAGAGCTTGAATTCGGACGAATGGACGTCACTTTGTTGCCATAGCCATCGCATCTTGTCTTAATGTGTTAGAAATTTTGGCAAAACACAAGTCAATTATCTGTCGTATCATAAGGCTCATGCCTTAATAAACTATTGGACAAATTAGCATACAGACATAGGACTAGCGGTTGCGACTAACACGAACTTATTATCTCTAGGACCGGTCAGGTCAAGCAAAGGAACACTGAGTTCGTGAATTATATCTGTATATAACGCTCAGTACGTGTTCGATTATCAGCATAATGAATCAAACAATACTTAGAATATTGATTAGATAGAGATTCTCACCTGCGTATTACCCGCTTTTACAATGGGCATTGCCTTGTCTTCGCCCGATACCATCTTTCGATAGCTAAGAATCAAAGCAACAGGCGAACCAAACATGAAGAGGTCCGACGGCTCAAACTCTAACCGGTTCTCACTACCTGTAGAGTTGCTTCTCGGTCGTTGGCTTGCGATTTGCGCACTAAGCAGCTTTTGAAATGAAGGGGCGTTGAAGAACCCAGCTCCCATCTGGCTATCTATGTCGCCTGCGAGTGCTGTCGGGTTTGCTAGAATCGCCGCCGGTGTAACACAACGACGTTCTCCTCCGGTGGCGGAGCGATCGGAAAGCTCTCCAGTACCCGCATCATTACTGATCGATATAAGCGGATTGCTCTTGCTCTCCTGCAGGCTCGTCTCACTGCCAAAATGTGATCCGCTGATGGTCAACTGGTTGGGCGAGCGCGACACCGCATCAAACGCCAGAATTGCGCCAAGACTATCGCCGATAAGGACCACCTGACCCGTGAAGCCCAGTCCTTCCGGTGACTTGAGAAAGTCATGGTAAACAGTGTTCACTGACATAATTGTTGAGTTGAGGTAGTCGACGTATTCAGGAGTAGACACTGCGAAAAGGGGCAGCGCTGCTATCGGTAGCGGGTTCTGGTTGTAACTAATGCCTTCAAACGAGGGCGAACTTTGGAAACTAAACGGACTCAGATTACTGAGTACAGCTAGTGCCTCAGCGCACATTGCTGGGCAAGCAACTAGTCTCGTGACTATACGCGATTGCAACGTCGGATAGTGCTGCTTAATAACGGCTTCGAGTACGTGGGCAAATGTTGCTACGTCCGTACTTTTCGGTTGACCCTGTTCAAGTCCGTGGTCGAGGATGTATCCTCCATGCAGCACAAGAACAAGCACTGACGTGGGGCAGATTAGTGCCATCTGGTGACCAGGCGAGGCGGCAGGCGAGGAGTGTCCTGAAGTCGTCGTCTCCAGGTGGGAGTGTTGAGCCCGCTCCTGGGTTCGCCTGATGTGCGATGGCGCAAAGATGCTCTCCTCTGTGCCACTACTGGCTGTAAAAAAAACGCAAAAAAAAAGAAAAAAATTCAATGAAGCAACAAAATAACGGAGTAATCGGTATCCGAATCAGTATGCAGTTAGTTGAAATTCTAGTACGGAGTTGATGTAATTATGATAGTACGTCAATTTATAGACTGGTAAGGTCATCTACTAGAAGAAAGAAAATAGCATGAATATATGTGTAAACAGTGGGAAGAAGAAGAGTGTGTACAGTTTGTTTTTGATCACAAATACTAACGAACTTCGGCTAAACAACGTTATTCTAAGTATGCATAGACATTATAGATTCGATAGAGAAGCAACATTCGTCGATCGAAAGAGATTCGTAACATTGTGCAGTATAATTACGCTTACTTACCCTCAGCGTTGTTTTGCACCATTTCAACAGAACTCCATTTTGCTAACGGACTATGCGATACATCTTGTGCTGCTGCTGCTGCTGCTGCTGCTTCTTCGAAATCCTCGGCATCGAAAAACTCTTCGCTTTCCGAGTCGGAATCACGTTCTATGCCCACCATTCGCCAGCTCTCGTCCCCGGGAGAGTGTAGCGTGTGTCTTGACCCTGATCGCAGGCCACGTTTCCCCTCTAGTGAAGGGCACACAGAGAGCGGTTTATGTATATTGCCAGCCTTTTGGTAGCTCGAGCCTGTGTCCTTCACATTACCGACGCTCTGGAGCTCGAGGGGCTCACTTGAATCGGCGTCAATTGATTTTAAATCCACATCCCCTTGGCTACCTTCCTGAGCTTCACCTTCGAATCCACCTCTGTTGGCGGTCGCCATCTTCCTAGCAAGTTCGGCTTGTGTTTCGGCCTCAATGCGCCGTACATCTTCCATGGTGAGTCCAAGCCACTCGTCCTGCCATGCCCACGCTTGCCGGTGAGCCCGCAGCATGGTCTTCCGTAGAGCTAAAAATAAACAGGAAAAATCAATGGCTGCAGGTTTTGTATCATAGGTACAGCAAGTTCAAAAAAATACAGAACGCAATTTTTTCATGAGCCCATATTCGCACGAACGACTTCGAAACGTGGTCATTCTGCTATTGGATTCCATTACAGTCCAACTGTATGGTTCCGCTGTTTATTTTTAATACATACCCTATTTGCCTACATGGAAATACGTTCAAAATTCTGCTGTTGCTGTCTGCGGAAACGAGGTTATTATAGAGATCACGCCTTTGCGCGAAGAAATCATTACAAACCACTCACCGACATCGTGGATAAATCGTTCGATCTTTGTTTGCATGCCCCAATATCGAAATTCCACTTTGCACAACTTGTAAGCACACATAATGGTTTTTCCTCGATGTTCATCAATCCAATTCTCATCTAGTGGACCCCGTTGGGACTTCTCCGATTTGTATATTGTCGGGTCCTCGGATTCGATATAATCAGCCGGTGGTAACTGATCTCGGACGACGTCAATCAGATCTGGAAGATTAGAATACTCGATTATGGGCTTGTATTCCTTCAGACCTCCTAGTAATTCGCGATAACAGAATACGATACCGAAGGCTATAGTGCGTTTTCGTGAGTGTGGCTTTTCAAGCTTTCTATAATTTTGCTCGTTATATTATGCATGCCAATGCGCAGCGTTTAATCTGTAACCTAACCTAACCTATTGTAGGTTTCAAACGATTCCGTTAATGCGGCCTGAGCTACCCTAAGGGCGCGTCGCATGTGTTAAGGCACTTTTGTTTTTGACTTACCGATTTGTCGATTCCGTATTTCATTTCCGCTGAGCTCAAACACGTTTTCCTTATCGCCAGCATCATCAAAATACTTCGTCTCAATCTCCAATGAAAACCGATCGACAAAAGGACACGTGTACCTATGAGACGAATAACAAACAAAGGACAGATATTTTTTGGGGAGTTATTATCGTATTATTTTTACACTTACATTACGCGCAATACAATACAAACAGACATTGTTGAATGATTAAAATTATCTGTGCAGTCGTTGATAGGGAATAACTTAGTTTACCATTGATGTCAAACGTAATGAAATGACCAGTAATACGTTCAAATCAACTGCAACTTTAAATAGTCGCTAAAAGTTTACTGTTATTATTTTGGTTGTCCAATGGTCCGGGAAGCAGAAGTGTAATGCGAAGATGATTCGTATTTTCCGTTTGGATGAAATGTCTGCATCAGTATAAGCTGGCTTTCCGACGCTATACTCAATATACATTCCAATTGCACATAGGGATATTGCCATTTTTCAAGAGATTCGATCACCAACTCGTCTACTAACCTGGTCTTAGTATATGGATATGCATTCCATGCCTCCTCTTCAACGGTTAGAGCACTTTTTGGCACGAGACTCTTAAGCCATCCTGGCAGATGTGAGCCCACATGATAGATCTTGTGGGTGAATTGTCCTTGACCGCCAGGCCCATCTTCGTAAGGCTCATTGACGAATATCTCGACGCCGCTACCCGACCCACTACTTTCCTGCCTGCTCTTTTTCTGTTCACGAACAATAATCGATTACAGCATTGATCTGCTTTTTTCTTTGTTCATATCCTGTTCTTCTAATTGGGCATGCACGTTGCTACTACTACACGTGTTACTATACTATGCACACGATATGAATGCAAAGTCAGCGTACATCAATACAAGAACACCCGCAAACGATAGAGGAACAGTGGTACGCATAAGATATTCGAAAAGTAAGGACCTTCAATTTAGAGTAAACAAAAAAGCGTTGAGTACACAAGCACAAAGCGGTTATTACGGTGTCCCTGGAAAGTTTACATTCAGCTCTGCGACTGTCATTTAGCGAGACAAAATGTTAACGATTTTCGTTACTTATCCCAATATTCGACGCAGTGGGCATTTTTACTATATAATATCAGAGATACATTGAAAAACTATACTATCCTCAACTGCCTGTTTCATGAGATGCGAACCTTCGGTGCGTCTGTATAACGCAATCTAGTAAAACTCAGCGAAACCATACAGCAGACGCCTACACTGGCCAGCATGATCACTCGTTCACAAACAATGTACCGTTCGCCCATCCCGTCTTCGATCGGTACTACTGATTATCTCAGTTCTTGATCCCTTTATAAGATTCGATTTTCCAGTGTACATGTTATGGCAGCTGCGAATACGAAGAGCCCATCTTGCCGACGTAGAGCAACACATAAAGATGATCTATGGAGACAAACATGACGGTCGAACCAAAGAACATATGGGCAGCGGGAGGAAAACGGTCTGCATATTTAGAAGATTGAATTTTATAACGACGCGCATACACTCTTCTAAGACTGCCAGTCTGAGTGTAAATGGTAACTCTAAGACATAACAAGCAGATTTTACTCACGGCAATCATATACAGCTGAGCTATCCGGTACTCCTCGACAGAGAGTGGAAGCGGAATACGGTACTCCTTGATCAACATATTGTCGGCTTCCTGGATCAGCTGACGACCGATGCAAGTGAACAAGCCGCCAACCTATAATACGACAACGTCCGAAAGACACGATTTCCACTCCGATACCAATACGAATATCAGCGGTCGGCAGTTGTCAAGGGCGGTCTGGTTACCGCTGGTCTGGATCCGGTTCGCTTGTATTCCACAACCTGCGTGCCCGGCCAGCACGGTGATCTTTCGCTGGGTCAGCCACCCTGGGCTATAGTCGTTATTAACAAGGTGTGTTCCGTCTTTCTGACCTCCTGGGTAACTTTCAAGAAATCTCAGAGCGCTTATAGCTTCGGCCCATCCCGGCAAATGATGAAGAGGCGCCGCCGGGCACCGCGATATATCTTGGGAAATCTTCCCGCAACTCAGGAATTTCTGCTATCTAAGGCAACAACAACGAAAACAAAGACAGCAAATGAATATGGAACAGTTTATTGAATAGTTTAATAGTTTGGAAATCCTAATCGGTAATACCTCAAGAATGGAAATGCTTTCAACTAAAAATAGGGCAAACGCATACGACAAGCTGACAAGACAACATTGATTTGCTGACGTATCAGATTTTCTAAATGGCCTCATACCTACCGCGTGCCGAATGTTCATTACTACAGATTCGAGCCTCGTGAAATGAAGAAGAAGGACACCGTTTTTGACATATACACTATATATATATATATAGTGTATGTGTAGAAAAACATTAAACAAACAACTAAATATAATTAAATATCAATTCCTTATATGTATATATGTACAGCAGTACGATCACTATTGTTAGCACAGTGATCATGGCAATGTTTATGCTATGAAAAAAAAACAAAATAAAGAGACAATATCAAATAAATTCAGCTAGAACTTTACCCTTATCCAACGGAACCGTCCGATTCAGCTTTCCTGTTTAGTATATGTTATAAAAAAAAAAAAAAAAAACATAAAGAAGACTTCAAACGGAGATCCTACGTTATTTCACATTGATCACAGTCAGTAGCAGATTCCGCCACATTTCGATACAACCGACACCATGTCGAATCTGCACATTGTCTTAGACTCGTTCCGAGATTCTATCCAGCTCCGATCGATTCTTCTTGTCTTACTTGATGCATGACACAGAGTAGAAAAAATGCAAGGGTGCAACTCATTCGATTTACTCAGCGAACGACGTTTCCTTACGTCCTTCCCGAATTATACAGAACGAATTCGAAGATTATTGCGGTTACGACTCCGCCTCTTCGCCATGCTCGAACGCGTCACCAAGGAGAGCGTTAAAAGCTGTTGATACAGCGATAACAACAATAGCTATCGAGGCGACGTCCCGGATCATTACAAGCGGTTCCGGGTCTAAATATTAAACATCACGCGTTACGATAAGACCAGTAACAGTAGCAAAAACTAAAAACAGCAAAAAACTAGACTACCACCTGTGCGGTTCCGTATGACCAGGGGAAGACAATTTTTGTTAGCCGCGGCTGAGAGAAGAACGCTCCAATGAAGAATAGACAACAGGTTCCTTGTTTTCAGAGGTATCCACCGAGGGCGCTCCCGTCCAGCTATGCCCCTACCAGCCTAGGGTCGCTATATTACTCGAACTATTCCTAATCTTGCGTCTCTTCTGCTCATATCCTCTTAAAGCTGGTCAATCACGCTTGTAGTAATGCTTCGTTAGGGAAATAACACTATCCCACCGAGAGATTCAAGGGACTAAAGGTGCCCCAATTCTAAAAACGAATTTTGGATAAGTATACCTTGATAGACAGGGCCAAAGGTACGTGGCGACGGTGGTGATGGAGGGAAATATGGCCAGGTTTGCGGCGACAATGAGAGCTCGCTTTGAAAATGTTGTTTTACACACTAATATGGCTGTAAGAACTGACACCAAAAAACGAAAGGGGTGAAGGATGTTAGCGTTTTCTCTCGCGTAAATATATTTGATTCCTTCTACCGTATACATACATAAATGGCTTGAAAGCCCAGTCGCAACTGAACGACTTCACTCATGGACTAACAAATGCAATGACAAAATGGCAGCAACTTCGTAAATTACAGAAAATCTAAGCATTTCATCTTTCCTAACAAGTTTGTTTTCCCTTTGCTATGTCGATTGTAAGTAACTCTTGGAGACTACTTCGTCTAATAAATCGCACTCATAAAAGCTTCATACCGAAAGGCAAATAAAAGACCTTACACTACAATGAAGAGCTTTATGTTCAACTAGAAATTTCAAGCTTGCTTAACTCTATTTGTTTCACTAATAAGTTCAAATGTCTCCCGTATGTTGCATATTTCTATACCTTCCAAGTCATTATAGGCGTGATTTTTTTGTTATCCCGCACAAAAGCAGGGGAAACATACAAGTATGAACATACATAACGTACATTTTTTTAAGGGGTATTTATGTGCTCTCAACTTATTCGGCGCAAGGTATCACATTATAAATGATTATTGTCAACTGACCTGCAGCAATTGTAGAACTTTCAACTTATGGATAACGGATTCGTTAATAATTCAAGGGAAACTTTTATGAAATATTTACGTTAGCTATAACAAATCTGAATTATAACTTTTATCGTTTGCTAGTTTTCCTCAGATGCGAGGATACTTCAACACTCTGTTTGCCCGTGCCTATTTTTTCCTCAAGCAGCTGTTATTTTAATTTAAGTTGAAATAGATAAATAAACAGGTCTAGGGTCTTATGGTCTGGGTGTGGCTGACAGAAAGGTGGCATTTTTTTCTGGTTATTTTGCCTGCGCTGTCAAGAGGTTATGTTGGGTTTTACTGTCCATCGCGCACGCTTTTGTACCGTATATCCCTGTTCGTTGCCCCGTGACGATTCCCCATCTGGCCGAGTGCTCGCTCGCGCCTGAGTTATAGTTATTGGGCAATCCGAAAAAAGAAAGATTCTCACTGCAGCTATGGCTTTCCAAAACGGGAAGCTAACTGGTGGTCAATGACACGCCGTCAGTTGGTGGGCATTAGTTGCACCAAGGGACCCATACCGCGAACGAAACTCGAGTTTGTTGCGTGCGATACATAGAATGTGGATGAAAATTGACACGGCGCGTTTGACTAAGCCAAGAATTAGAACTGCTTAGCTAACGTCTCTAAGAACAGAGCTCGCAACATTCCCCTGTTAGTGGACGGAATCCCGCTCGCCCGGCAGCACTTGATTGCCGGTGTGACGTTCTCTTGGTCGGTGCAGAAGTTTTTCCGTTAGTGGAATCTCTATCGCGGTCGCCATGCCTGTGTAACCTTAATTTCTGTTCCATCTCGTTCTCCTATTCCAGCTCTTGCTATTGCTGCACCTTACCGCCCTATGTCGCATCCTTATCTTCATCTCCTATCAATACTAACTATAATCAGTGTTATCGCCCCACCCCCCTTAGCGCTCGTTCTCTTTCTTTCTTAGCGCGTTTGTGATGCCCTAGTCACGGCCATCGGTGGGGTAGTATGGTTTTCACTGCTTCGTTCACAGACTTTGACTTCGTCGCTTTGAGAGTTGGAGAGCTGATCCTTGCCTTTAACGCCATTGCCACTGCGCCCGCAGAATAAAAAGAACACGAGACCTAGTCGTCGCCGCTGTAGCTGTGAAGCAAACCCGCGACGACAAGGGACAGGAAGATCAACATAAGAAGGAGAATGACGCTGTGGCTTTCCAAGCCGATGATGGGCCATCTTTAGTAGTTGCCGTGATCGTAGGAATCATCGTTGTATTATCGTCATCGAAGTCATCCCGGGACGGGAGATTCGGGACAGCTAAGTCGCAGGCAAATCGAGGGCACTAGTCTTCTGTTTCCCCAACCCCCTGAGAGCCGACGAGGCACGAGGCTGCACAATGCGTAGTTTTCCAGCAGCTGTTGATCCCCTTCACGCTGAATCTGTTACTACTACTACCTGTGCAAGCATCGACAATTCGGAAACTTTCTCGACTATAGTTCAAAGTTGTGCTGTTCGGTTTGCTAGACTCCAACGTAACGCTAAGTCAGTATATAAGAGCTGCCTTCCGCCTCCACGACATGTGCGTTAATGCCGAGCCACGCGTTGGCTAGCCACAAGAATGGCTATGCTAATGCAGATTTTCTCAAAGCGATGTTATGGCTAAAGAATATGGTTCAATGGAGCGAGAAGAATTGCCTGCCAGTCTCTACAACTCGATTGACTGGTTAGACAGTAAGACTCCAGTGCGAACAGGCCTCTCTCGCCTCAGAATTTTATAGAAACAGGTAGTACCTTCTTTTAGTCGGGTCCGTATTGCTTTATGCTTTATGTTTGTGTATTTGTGGGGACATGTGGATTACGATAACACAAAGACAACAGCACACAGGACTGGCAAACTGCTCGCAGCTGGTTTATAAAGACTGCCTTTTTCGCTAAACTTTTTTTTTATCATGCGTTAGTCAGGAGGCTGCATTGCTTTGAAAATACTGGATTATCATTGTTTAGTATCCAAGCTTTGCCGAAATAATGACAGCATAATGTTTACACTGTATAAGCATGGTGCCGTCGTAACTTATACTAAATCGTTCAATATGTGTTTAGAGATTTTAACATTGTTAAAAATAAACAGTGATAAAATAATATCTGTATAACAGTTGTCGAATCTATGCTTGGGAAATACTTGCTCAAAGTATTACTAGATGAAGGTGCGGTAATTTTTCACGCCTGGAAAGTTCGCTATTCAAGCTCATTTGAAAAGGTTACCAAATGAAGTTATATTTTAAGCATTGAAAAATATCTTTCTTTTTTTATTACAAAATATACATATATACACCTTTAGGCTCAACCCCTGACTTGATCCTTATTCTGAGAAATTCTTAATTTGGAACTGCTACCCCACAGGCTACACACAATAGATCGTGAAAGCTACGAGACACCTCATAATAAGGCTGTAGTTTGCCCACAAGCAACATCCAGGTGTACCGGAACAAGCTAAGATGCATCAATAGACTCACTTTCGCCCTAAGCTAGAAAACCCCAGGAAAAGCATTGATGCCCTTCGATTACACCCACTATGGTGTTTCGAAACGAAGCTATACTGAAACGAATTTTCCAATCTTAAATTTATAAGCATTACTATGTCAAAAAAAGCAATTTGTGTTCAATGTAAGTTCCTTTGAAGTGGCACGGAACTTTTCCGGATGGAAAACGTAACTGTGCCACATACTGTTCGCCTCCTACAATTTAACCTTACGACTGCAAACTTCCTTCAGCCTTTTCTAAGTCATTCAGTGAGAAGCAGTATAAAATAGCCATCTGATGAGGTGAAGGACTTTTATTCAGGATCGTTTTAAATAAACATCATAAGGCATCGTTGCCGTTGTCATTATAAATAATGTAAGTTTATTTGCGACAGCAGTTTTGCGACACATACTAACGCATAGTTGTTTTGTTACGCTTATTAGTTTTACTTTACGCCTGTTAAACATGGTTACCTTTAGTTATGTATTACCATGTTACAAACGAACGATTTAAAATTGTTATTAGCTAACTGCTCATTGGTTTGTATCATGAAAACCTTGACAGATGTAACAATACAGGAACCTTGCCTTATCGAATGAAAATGTTTCTTTTTATTTACCCAGCTGCTATTGTAAGATCAAGTATACTGTCGTAGAGCGATTGTGAAGAAGCCACGGAGTTCGTACACGGGATGACATATATATACAGCAAGCACTCTAATAGATCGCCATTACTTAATGGACAGTACAACCTCATGTTTTTTTCGGAGTTTCCATCGACGTCTTGGCTTCCTATAGTAACATTCTCTGGTACAAATGAATCTTTTGAGGTATACCGTTACGCTGCGTTAATTAATAAACGCAAACAACCGCGAACCTTGAGTAGGAAACCGTGAGCTGAGCTGAACACATATTCATTAGCCTCCAGAAACAAATTTATTAATTCCAAATTCTGTTCAAAAGCATGTAAGAAAGAGAATGTGCTTCCATATAGATAGAAATTAATAAAATGAATAAAGATCAAAGGTGGAAAAACGTCAAGGCAAATATATTGCAACAGAAAATAGGACGCTTAGAAATCAGACGACGCTTCTGTCTCGAAACAAGTCGTTAAATCTACGCGACACAGGTTGATTTCATCCCTGCTGGTATTCCGGTGTTGAAAATTCAATCTGAATCTTCCAAAAAACTCCGCACGGTATTTCTACACACGGGCAAATAGTAGATTACCTATAATATCAGATACTGCCCAGTGACGCTGCTTTTCAATAGTTTAAAGAGGCTTCCTTAAACACATTATGAGCATGTGACTGGCGCCTGTCTGGGTCCGTCATCGGACCAATCGAACAGTGTACGTCGTCAGGGGTTTTGGCGGTTGCGTTGCCGAAGATGTTGCTTTGAAGAGTGATGGGCTTACGGGCCCACCACAAGAGTTTGTTGCTTGGTAGCATTCCATCGCACAGTCTACAATCGATACTAATTGGGAAAGTTTCTGAAAGGTCGCCATTCGTTGGCGGCCCTTAACAGCCAGTGCTTTTCCTGTACGCCGCTTCGGACTACCCAGATCATTTTCGTTTACTCCAATGTGCGCTCTTGCTTACTTAACGATGGCTGCTTTCATTCATCTTCATCGACAGCCTCCACGGCCACCTGGGGTTTTCTTCGTCGGCATTGCCCAACCCCAAGCATAAGCAACGTGCCCCACATAAGCAACAAAAACGGAAGCTGACTAAAACCCCCTCCGATGATTTTACGCATTGCAACGCCGATAAATGGAACCAAAGCCTCACACGCCGCAACCATTCCGAAAATTTTGCCAAATTTCTGACGTTCGACGAGTTTGGCGGCGTGAGCTCGCATTCCAGCTGGCGCCAGACTAAGTAGCGTTCGAAGAACGTGCTGAATACGATTTATCACTGCAGAGTTCTGTCCCCCGTCTAGTGAAGCAAAGTGAAAAGTCTGGCTGGCCGTTAGGGAGAACACACCTATAAATGTCAAGGTGTAGTTGGGATCAAATGGAAGTTTCCGAACGATAATTACAAAAAATGGTATAACGATCAACAGAATTGCGATGATGATCGAAGAGTCACGGATTACTTCGCTTTGATTTGTGTTTTCGAACAAGAAGCATGCTACGAATCCGTTTGTCGTAGCCACAAAAAAGAAGATCGTAGCCATCACAAAAAGCATCTCATATTTGGTGCCCTGGGCCTGGTCGTGCACTAGACCCCGCACCGAACGTAGCAAATGGTGGTGACTGAATAGTCGTGATGAGAGAAGCACGGGGTCGGTCGATGAATGGTGACGTCCATTGACACGTGCATGTCGACGGCGAGGAATCGGTTGATCTGTGTCTTTTTCGAACTTGACGTGGTCAACGAAAACATACGCGAAAATCAACGTCAACAAGATAACAATCATCGATACTATAAAGAGACTCAGTGTTTCGGTGTATGCTTCAACAACAAGGGCCGAAACAAGCCGCGCTGTAATGAACGACGTTGTAAACGAAATTTGCAAAAGAAAGAACGCTACTGTATGACCGTTTGAAGGAACACTGCAAGCGACATGTACGTAAATGCACATTATTATGAGAGGTAAACCACCGCACAACATCTCTCCGCAGGGCGTGATTGTATCGTAGAACAGCGGCGCGTCAGGAAACCTTGATGACGCAAGATTGGCGGCCGTTGACAATGCAGTGCCAAACATTCCGATAAGCAAAGGTGTTCGAAAATTAGTAAACTCATCACGGTATGATAATATGACCACAATCATTACCAACGCTGGCGGTACGAGCGCTACAATTGCTTGGTAAGTCGCATACAGCTCGACCGTTTCTGCAGCTTTTCTCCCGTGACTTTTCCGTCCAGTGTGTATCAATTGTTGGTTTAAATGCGTTGTACTTGTGTTTGCATTTGGCAAATTCGTGATTGCTGATGATGAAGTCGATGACAACGCTTGATAATCGGGTACATCTTGGATCTCAAACAGTCCCTTGATCATGTCCTCAACTGAGTAAACTTCTGATCCTTTGCTTCCTGATTTGTCTGAACGTAACCACCGTTTGCAGAGTTCTTCTGGAGCTGTACTTTCATGCGCCGAAATATTTTGAGCAAGACACACCTTCCGTGTTATGGCATAGGCTGTCGCCGACCAGTTAAGTGTTAACGCAAACGTGAACAGAAATAAAAGAACATGCATCTTGTATCCTGCAAGTAGTTGACGGCAACACCCGTTCGATTCCTCGTTAACAGTTAACTCATTATCCGCTTCTTCACGAACCTCTTCAGCTTCTCCGATTCTGGGTTCGTCGTGGTCGCGTGAAAAAAAATTCGAAACTAAGTTTAGCAGGCCGCTGCCGCTTAGTCGACCTCTTTTACTATTTCCTGGCGAGTTCCCGGTCTCGTGATCATCTCCGGTGTCGCCCAGTAGTTGTCCTGTAAGTTTGTGCAAGAGTGGGCGTAAAAACTGTTTTGATCTCCCCCTTCCGCCCGCAACCAAGTTCACCAGATCATCCGCCTCCATCCTGTAAATAATCCCACAAATGAACCAACAAAAACACAATAATAATAACAACAACAACAACAACAACAAGGGAAAACGAATGCAAACATATTTCCATGTATTTGACGAAGCCTTTATACCCGCAATTAACACGGAAGCAAAAGGAGATGTATAGATGAAAATATAATGGAACGCAAAATAAGCTTTCCACGATAATTTGTTTATTCACGCGAGTACATGTGTATGACAACATGTTATATGTATGTACACAGGGTAAGGCAAGTGTTTTGCGGGCTGCATACTAAAGTAGCAAAGGACCACGATATATAACTAGATATAGATAAGATTTCCTATGAAGGAATGATCCACAATATTCCAAGCTCTGCAATTGTCTATGAGTGCCAAATCTAGTCTGTACGATTTAAGTCACAACTAATCTTGATCGAATCAGGCTTTTTTTTTTGGGAGCATAGACTCAAAGAGCCCGTCCTTAGAAATATTGCCTGCCAAACCAATGTTTGTTATGAAATCAGAGCAGTAAATGTTTAAGAATGACAACCTATAATGATAATGTAAATGAATGGTTCCTGGAGCGTGTCTCCAATTAGCTGCGCTTGTTTTAATGGTTCTTTGAATAAAGACGAAGGTTTACTGTGTTACTAAGGATTATTAGACCTAATGTTTTGAGTTTACAATACTGCACGATTCATGTAATTTTAATGTGTAATATACGGCTAACGCAGGCCTTATGGCGATAAATCGCACACATATTTCGATATTATGGGCTCTAGTATCGTTGTATCAATACTCAGTCTGTGCTTCAATGTTGCTCCTTTAGTTCTACGAAACGGGTCCAGCCTAAAGTCGACCAGTGAGTAAACTTGTTTAACTAGAAAGGCACTTTCCATCGGCCGTTTTAAATGGATTTAATCCGGTGGTACAGAGATAGCATCAATCAACCGTTTTCAATCAACAAAATTTGATTGTTTTATTGACGCATTGTCTTAATGGGTAGCACAAACTCCGCACTTTCCATCATTGAAATATTACAACCCACATTTATTTCTATGCTGGGTTTTCTGATGGAACATTTTTTTTGGCACACATTAAGCTTCATGCGAAGAACTAATTCTAACATACGAGCACAGCGCCTAACCGCCAAACGTCTACAGCTTAGCATCGAACAGTGATAATCAATAAAGCGAGATCTACTCTTAGCAGACATGAGTACCGTCGAAAGCAAGCTCGATAGATATTCACCAACGAATTTCCTTACATGGATATCTACGCTGGTTCATCAAAACCTCAAATACCAGTACCATAGAAATTGGTCAACTCCTGGTTGGCCAAATTGCTGCAGGTCTCATTTAGCCCATGTTTGGGTCAGAAATTGGGCTTCTTCAGCCCATCGAACGTGCAACATAAGTGTTCATTCATTCGTAAAAGTGCAGGTCAACATATAACAAACTATAAAACGCTTAGGGATATTATTGTTTGTATACAGTCTTTTCGTGCGTGTCATCCCGCTCTGGGTAACGCATCAGCAAAAGTATTTTGTCGATTTGTCACAGCCGGTCGCCGAGTCTAGTGGTATCAACAGCGTACCACAGGAGCGGAGCCACTAGTGCAAGCTAACTGTCAACGTGATTTACGACTTTGTCATCTTTCTGTCGCTCCATATCTGATGATCGGCTTCTCCGCCACAGCAGAGGCACGACCGTCACAGCTTTACCTAATGTTATGCAGTGTTCTGAGGTCGCATTCGTACATTTCGGTGCAATCGAGCTTGGAATTAAATAGCGACATGACCTATAGTATGACTTCGTCTCTCCATTAAACAGTTACTAACACACCGGTGACAATTTTAGTTTCAATTGCGTCTACGTTACTCGTTCAACGCGTTATTCTACTAACTTCAAAGGCACAGGGCAGGTCTAAGTTCAATTTTAGACAAACTTACTTTCCGAGACAAAAATCCAAGCAACAGAATAAGCAATGAATATAGTATAGCATTTTTCCAGATCCATCTTTCTCAATCGTTCGTACGGAGCCGCCCGGTCAAATTTTTCAGCAAATGGTAAACAAGATTACTGAGGCGTTCCAAGAAGAGGCGTCCGAGTTTTTTGCCATTACAATGATGATAACAAAACAGGCTAGCGTAGGGCCGGCTAGCGATGCATAATGAAACGGAGCTTCTACACATTTGTGTTTACTTCGGTCCGCTTCATACAAGATACAGACTTTAATAAATGGGCATCAAGTGCAAATGTTCAGGATCATTTGTGTAGCCTTTCAGATTTTGGCTAAATCTTTGTTGTACCTAATGTAAAGTGGTGTTTTATAGAGATATATAAACTTTTGTGAGCTTTTATCAGGCTTCTTTGAAGAAAAATCTATGCAGTCACAAGCGAAGGCTTAAGAATTGTATTTTTAGTGATTTAGTTTTATTCCGTTCAGCTTTACGGAAAACTAGTTTTTCAAAAAGGTCGCGAAATTTCAAACTTTCCGCAAGGACTTAATCTAGGGAGGATCGTTCGTGTTTATGACACTTTTAAAGGATCACATAAAATACACATTAAGCACTCGCATGTAGGAAGGCTTGTCGGACTGAGGGCTCCACCACGTTTGCTTATGTGCATAGCTTTTATCGCCCAAACATATGGCCATGCGTTCGGCTGAATTTATCTGAATCCGAGGATTCAACAATATGTAGACGGCAATCGCTTACCTTTTTCGCTTGGAGCGATGGAAGCGCACTATGATCCCTGAGAATAACACACAAAATGACCCTTGTTATGTAGATAATGTTATTATGTACTTGTCCTTCAGAACTACCCGAATGATATTATAGTCCTTTGAACCTGCGAAATACATTGCAGAGACAATACATCAAGGCCGACTAAGCGCTACTGTGAAAAATCCGGTAGCTAAATCTAGCTTAAAGAGTTCAATAATTTTCTGATACACATACATTGTATAATCTATAGCGCTAAATGATGTCTTAATTGAGTGGCCGGCAATTTCAGTAAGTAATTATATAGTGTAAATAAATGGCTTAAAGGTTCCAGTAGAAAAAGCTCTTAGGCCCAATATTTTATAAAGATTTTGAATAAATGTTGAAATATTGAAAAGTACACGCAAAAAATTCACATTGAGAAACGATTTACGAAATATACACAAACACATACACACTATTTAATTAGTCGAATTCAGTTTACTAAAATGTTTCTACCTGGAATGGATAGCTCTCAGATACTCAATCGACGCCTCTAGCTCTTCAAAGTGCACCCTTTGACAACATACCCTTAGTTAGTTGAGAAAGGTAGTCGTTGCAAATTGGAAACGAAAGAGTGTACTGTTCGAAAGGTAAATATAGTTACGCCTATATTTAAGATACTTGCCTTAATCTCGAAATAATTCCTACAACGCGCACAATGTAGAAATCAATACAAATATGTCCATTAGCCGACTAAACTTGGATACCCAAACAGGACGAGTTCATGATATCGACGTCATAGACCAATATCAATCATTAAAGGATTACCCCGAAAGGCATAGTCTACATACGATGTAATATTCATACGATATGTTGTTGGCTACGAAACAATCAATACAGAAACGGCATCTCATAAAAGTGAACGTAATAATGAGCTTCTTATTTACTGAAAAATGTGAAGTTCAGCTAATAATAAATCATTAGGATGTGGGTTACGACATGCCATTATTAACACTCGGCCTATTTCCGCTTTGGCTAGCGGAAGAGGCAAATGTTTACAAGCGCATACAAACATTCAATATTACTAGTAGAATTTTCTAGAAGTAATTAGACCAAATTAATTGATTTTTTTACGGGTTAAACAAATTTCAGATTAACAATGGTAGCCCCCACTGAGACGAGAAACATTTGATTATTATGTAAAGTTATAATCCATTCTCCACGGGTTTTGTAGAATGTCTCATCTTCACCGTATAATTGTTCACAAATTTGTCTGACTCGAAAACTTTTTCCTGTGCCGGGGTAACCATATACAATACATAATTTAGTTCTATGGTTACGTTTTGCTCCAAGCCGTAGAGTATTAGCCAGGTCCTTGATACCGCGATGAAATTTTATAAATGCGACAGGATGTGTTTCCGCCACTGCGCCGATAGGATCGTCTTTGTTTTCTAATAATGTGTCGACTACATTGTATAAATCATTGCGTTGGCCTTGAGAGTTTATGCGTCCATATTCTTCGAAATGGCCCGATTTTATGCAGTATTCACGATTTTTCTCTTCTGATGCTTTCGCGAACTCAATATGTGCTCGTTCAGATATGAGCGCTTTAAATCGATCTATAGTAGCAGGTTTTTCCAGTGCACTATATCCTTGAAGATGTTTCGTTCCGGTATTGGGGGCTATTTCGTATCCCCATACAATGTACCTGAATTGATTAATATTTTCTTTTAAATTTTTAACTTCTTCATCACTGTAATTATTTAATGTCCAAGCGGCGCGGCGGAATCTAAGTTGTCGGGAAGCCATTTTCGTCTCAAAGTCATTTCGGCACAAAGTCTCTCGGGTTTAGTATTACCCCGAGAGATTTCTGTGGTTAATATAGCGGGTCCCTACAGGAATATGACGTCACCTCCAATTGCCCTCTCCCCTACTGGAGAAATATCCACTATATAAGTGGACGCTTTGCCCAAACAAGTAGACATGGATTACGTTAGCAATAGCGCTTATACTCTTGACGATATTATACGTGGCATGCTTAAACAAGATTATTTTATTAAAACACTTAGTTTGGAGTTGAAGAGACTTAAAGGAGATCTTGTGTGCGGAATAGGGAATGCTGCAAAAATAAAATTACAACAAATAAATAAACGGAGCGTGTTCTTCGGGAATTAACTATATATTTTAATATTTTATAGTGAGTAAAATTACGAAAATTCTCAGGTAAATTGAAAAGCTTGCTGCTTGGTAGAATCTTCATAACACCGCCGAGAGGGCTAAGAGTATTAATTAATCCACTAGGGGGGGGGGGGGTCCTCCAACTGATTATTATAAGTACTATGTCAATGGCACCGCCAAAGCGGTATACGCGTTGGTAACGGCAAATGGCTCTGTGACTAAAGGATTAAATATCATCTAAAAAGATCTAGCTAGTTTAAAATATCTGCGATTGTCTAGAGATCCATGACGTCAGATTTTAAAAATGTGCATAAAACAAGCTATTGTTTTATGTCTGCCCCAGTGTTGCCCTAACGAGAACCATGAAGTGGAACTTTTAAAACGATTATTCTTATTCGAAGCGTTGCCACTGCAATCAGGGAAATTGACTGGCAAAAAGTATAACATTTGCACTTTTTACCTTTAGCCGCTAGGCCTAGCTAAGTTAATCACTTCACAATGGCCCTAGGCGGGGAGAATTACTCTATTTATATATTAAATATATACTAGTAGTATACCGATAGATATTGTTTTAACATACTCCTAAGGCCGCTTTCATTTATGAGCTACTTGGGTACAGACTTTGAGCTTTGCAGCACATTATCACGCACACCGGTACACCAGGTGCCTATGCTACCCTACGATATTGAACACTTTACTTGAGACGGCTCTAATGGGCAATAGGCATATTCAGGAACTGAGTATAGTAAGCATGGCCAGCTTATAGCGAAGCAACTCTATCTACCAACGGTTGTCCAGTATCAGCAGTTGCTCGGATGGCTGATATCTACTCTGCCTTAACAGACAATGTCTCAGTGGATAACTTAAATTCGACAAGTTATCTTTGTAAAGCGTATTGTCAGCTGGTCTTATTCTACCACAAAGTTCTACCACTACCTGTATCCCATTGTTTGGCCTGTGCTTGCACTAAACGTGTCGAATTTGAAAGTTGCCCACGACACGTCTTTGCTCTACCCTACTAATTACTTACTCTCTGAAATTAAGCAGGCACATAAGTTGTTATATCAAGAGTAGCTCTACCCATAACAAATATGAAATCGTTACTCGATTAGAACGAATATTGAAATGGTTGGTTGCGGTATTTTAGTTATACAGAATCGTATGATTCAGAGCGAATCCAGATAGGGCTGTGTAGTGTCGATATATTTTGATGATGACTCGGTCACCATCGAGCGCTTAAGTTACAGCTATACTCAGTAATCAAAATACATCAGCACGGCAATGCATGTCATGAAATCCAATGTTACTAGTAGTATGCGCTGATATTATTTTAGATCAGTTGGAATGATACACACGAGGAGTGATTCACTTATACGTTTTCACCTTACATTTAACAAATAAACTCAAGGCAAACTACAGCAGACCAAAACACTTCTGCATATCGTATCCAGATGAAAATCTTAAAAATGCCTATTAGACATTTACTGCCAGTTGGTAAGAGCTCACAGCATATTTCAGAAAAACGTATTTTCTTTATCATAAGGTACATGCTGTTTTTTCCTCCCTTCAATAAAATAAAGGAATTTTCATATGCCGCGTTTTTCGCTACACCTAAAGGTACTATCTATAGGTTGTCTTCAATGAGCTTCTTACCCCAACCTCCCATCTAATCCTTTACTTTAGCTTTGTCATCTTGTCATTGAATCGTTGTCCTTATGTTATACGCAAACAAAATTCCTACTCATTTTCTGATCTCTTACCTCGGTCAGTAATCAATGCCCTCAGTCCGCAGCTGGTTTAGTGGTTTTGTTATGTTGAAGATATAATCGACGTTTTGCCTTCGTTTTCGATTCTCCAACCTCCGTGGATCATCCTTTTCACCGTAACCGATGACTATTTTGTCTCTATCCGCACCTGTCGCAGAAATATTCGTACAACTGTACTTGCAGTACCAGAAATCCAAGTAGCACCACTGTGGTGACACGTCGTAACGGTAAGAGCAGCACGCCTAACCACTAACATCGACAGGCTGGACACCTTACTGTCGCTGAACTACAGAAATTTACCCTCGTGTCGCAGGCGAGTTTGAATGCGCACACTGCTTAATTGAAGTGTGGTTTGTCTAAGGTAGCGTTCCAGCCGCCAACCAGCGTCAACTCGTTGATCACTCAGCGGATGTGGGCGCGCTGTCTGAGACGGACACCTCTCCTTTGACGGAGGGTCCTCTCGTAGCGAAACTAGTAGTAGCACATTAGCCGCCATCAGCCTTGTTCCTATCGAAAGAAGAAGCAGCAGCAACGCAATGCTGTGGCAGGGCCTTGTAAGCTTGGCGCGCAGCAGCACGCATACAGACGCAGGAGCCCTTTAGCAACAGCTGATCTCTAACATTTAGACGAACCTCGAGTGGAAATTAGCTTGGGAATCGGCCGGTAGCGATTCACATTTACGATCCACTGGTACCGTCGATGCTGCCGAATATTGCACAAGGGGCCTTCTTGAAATTTTTGCGTTATTTCTGCCGGAAGGTACGGTAAATTGTGGCGGGAAATTCGAATGGCAGTGTTGTCTGGCGAACTGTGCGCAAACGGCAGTTAAGAAAGGCCAGATGTTCGTGTACATGTGTTTTACATTTTTCAGCTATCTACATTTCTAAGAAACAATAGTTTCATGATATTTCCTACCCTGATACTTGCTACCCGTAGGACGTAGTGTCTTGCTAATAGCGTGACTTTCCGGGCTGGCAACAATAGGATTAGCTTCAAATACTTGACAATGGTCGCTTATTGGGCATTATTCGTGAATTATAACATGAAATGTATACAATGCTTCCTGTTCTTTGTGAGTTCTAAGTTTAGTAGCTTTAAATAACAACAGAATTTATAGTTAAGTAGCACAACATCACGGATTCGGCGCTTTCACGAGTTATTAACCAGTGTCTATGGCCGGACCCAAACCTAGGTTATCTCAAATTCCTCTCCAGGCCATAAGCAATCACGTTTTAAGTGACACATCGCCAGAAGTTCATAATTCTTGCGTATATTTGAATAGCGCTTACGTTTAGAAAAGCATTTCACTTTGACTGAGCAAATTACTCTATTTATATAATAAATATCTGATGACGTAGACCCTGATTTGTATTGTAGAACCACTGGTCGCCCTGAACTATAATTTTAGACCAGTTACTATGAAAAAAGCATTAACTAAAGCCTTTCCGTACAAGTACACGTACGATTCGTGCAAGCTGCATATTCTAGGTTGAAGCAGCTCTTTTGCAAAGAACATTTTCCACAGACGTCACAACATACTTTCATGTACCCACAATCTGTTCGTTGATATTGAAACTACCTGAACTTATCTTTACGTGATTTCAACAACTTATTTAATTATCAACATAATTATTAAACGTTCCCGGGCAGTTACTACCAAATAAACATCTCTGGGAACTGGACGACCTCGATATAATTAATTTCCTGTCACTTTTTGACCCACGCAGATAAATATGTATTTTCATTTATAACTGATGTTCGTCTTATGCACTGTTTAGGCTTGTTTGCAGCGTAAATCAAGAAAAGTTGTATTTTTACTCACTAAAATAAATACACAGTATTTTATCATATTTTCTCACATTGTTATAGTAACAAGCGCAACAAAACACGCAAAATGGCTAACGAGTTAGCGTAAATTATATTCTCAAACCATTCTACTACGATTTTATTAAAAATGTCCTTCCCTTCGTATGATCCGGTCAGAGCAGATGTATCCGGCGATAGCAAGAGTAAGGTTTCCCGATTTCAAAAGGAACCAATAGCGCCCGATAATCTACAATGTACAATAAAGAATCATTTTGAACGAACGCCATATGTATCAATTTGGCCATAGCTTTCATATACAGATTAGCTTGGTGGTGATTTCAGGCCGCCGTCGTTAATTAGGCACCGAAACTGAGCGAAAGAAAATGTCTCATGCAAACAAAAATCGACAAAATGGAACTGCGTCAAGTTAATAAGATGAAAACACTAATTTGTTTCAACATTTTCTAGAAACCAGAGACGGTTCTACATGATGATACAAACACAGATCGTTTCAAATACAATGTTCGATTTTGGTCTAAACCATTACGGCAAGGTGTGATGTATATGCCAAGGTACGGCAGTAACTATAATTCTTCGCACCTATGATTCGCTTCTTTAAGCGTTGTCATTTGTGAGCACACGACACACATTGACGCGCTCAACGCAATCAGGCACAATGGAATCAGGAACACATAGCGAATTTGTAGGCTAACGGGAAGATCGCGGAGCCAGGTGCAAGCTCCATGCGTATGTCGAGACGACCTAGGACGAGGAAGGCAACGTCTATCAGACTGCACAATAATATATATAATAAGTATCTCAAGTAATTGGAATAAACAAGTTATAAGATATCTGCAACAGGTAGAATTTTCTACGTTAATTATTGATTAGATTTTTTTTGATAAAGCTTTTAGAGACTTGAAACATTGGGTAATATGATTTAGCGGTCCCATTTAGATTCGAAAAGTAAAAATAAGGAACCCTTCTTGTATTGGTGATGACCGACATGGTAAACTGATTTTTTTGTCGTTTCTGTGCTGGGTTCAGTTGAATTTCCAGCCTAAGCGATGCATGAGGGCATACCTCTTTCTCAAGCACATAAGTTGACGGTAGATGAATTCGAAGAAAGTCACCGTGTCAGGATTACGTGTCGACGTATTGTTGCCCTGGGATTGAGGAGCTTCGCAGAGAAGCGGAATTGGACGGTTCGTCTGAGCACGTAATATCATTACATCAGCCGGCTTAAGGATACACCAGCGTTCGTTTGATATGGTTTTCGGTTGCGTGTTCAAGACTGTTGTTAGATCACGATACATAGAGATAACAGCACTCAGTATTGTTGAAAACATTAGCGTTACACCAACTTTGATACAGTAGCTCATATCTTCAAACAAAGACGTTATTTTCAATGAATAAATATTCAGATCTTCAAAAGACTTCAATGTATCTCTATGATCCCGTGGCACAAGCGGCGGTATTGTTCTGAGATCGCAATTGTTTCCCTGGTTCGTCACCCGGCGACTTGCGGATCTCAATATGGCGTCGTTTTTTACAATAGCTAGTGGTAACATGCATTCGTCTGGTTATGCTATTGATGTGATATCTTCTCCATGAGCGAGCCCACCATTTTCGCTAAATGCTTTTACTCATGGCATTAGTCGCACAGTCCATAACTCGTTTGAATCGTAGCGGCGCTGGTCGGACTAATGGATCCTTCTTTGAGTCTCAACATATACTATGTAATGGTTGTGTTAGATAGGAGATGTCTCCTCGTCTAATCTAACGATGCTGGATGTAAAATTCAAAATGTTTAGTCCTTACCTAATGATAGATATTATTCGCCAGCGTGAAGAGTTTATTAAATGGATACGGAGGAAACTGCAGAAGATAGTTAACGATATAAGATAATTAAGATTTTGAGTGGAAATGACTAAGATGCGTTAACACGGAAGCATATTAATGATAAATATTGATTGGGTGAAAAAAGAATGAAAAAAAGGCAAAAACTGGTAACAGAGAATGATTACACGGTGTCAACACCGAAAAAAGCGTGAGAAATCGAAATTTATCTCGAGGCGAGTCTACTGCTGTAACTGGACCAATTGAATGAAACAATTATATAGCTCCCAACAAAAATGTTGGAAGTACTGATGAGCTCGAAATATACAAAAAAAAACTACAGCTTAGCATTAGAAATCACCAAAGCATGTGTATTTGGTAGTGGAATAATGATCACTAAGTAGATTGTAAAAAAAAAAAGTTGTATTCAAGGGGAAAGCTTGAGATGAATAAAATTCGTAGACGTATTACCTTTCGGAAGAGAAACGTTTATAGAATAAGTATTGTTCAAAGAGAAATATTTTAGCAAAGTGCAAAAATGTCAAACTATTTCAGTCTAGTCCAAATAAATCAATTTTAGAACAAAATGAAAGTCCTCTGTACATAAACGTAAGCGACAACTGCTAAACAAAATAAGTAGCTTCGAAGCAAGATTGTATGTCTAAATTAGTTTTTGGCTAAGGTTGCACGTCGTCTCTACATCGTGTGACCCTAAATCTTACTCCGAAAATACGCATGAGTTGGTGCGATCATTACCAAATCAAAATGGCAGAAATTAATAAGGTCCTTGAAGCAGGAAAATGAATCAATTGGATTTGTTATCGGTACTTTAAATCAAGGGCTTGTTCATAAATAAGATATTTCAGATAGTAAAATTAATAACTACTCTTAGATCATTTTTATACTAGGCTATAAAATCTGGTTAGCTGCGGTGTTATCCCGTATGGAACGCACGACGTTATAGAATGCAAGAAATGTTTCTGGATGCCCTAAAGGAAAACGAGCCGTTGCCTGGAAAACGTGAACGACTAACAGACACAATATAAAAAAATAACTATTATAATGTTTAAGCCACAACTTAAACTTGTTGAAAACGTATTTATATCCATAGAGATTTTCAAGCGCAAAAGTTACGAAAACATTTCACATAATAATATGTAGATTAGCGTAACATTATTTCTTATGTTTCGTTTTCTTTTTGAAATCAATGTGACATGTATGTATCTATGTATATTATACTTTGCACAAATCAGCACTTAAAGCTCAGAAAGTGCTAGAGCTGAGCCTGTGTGTAGATATGGCACATCTGATTTGACGGACAATCTTCGTGATGTTGGTTAAATTTAGGAAAACGTGGTGGTCTAGGTTCGAATCTGCTGGGAACCAGCCGTTTAAAAAGAATGCCGCACAGCTTAAGTACTAGACGTAAGTTGTGAAAAACACTTTGAAGTACTTTGTTATTGGTTATGGGAACGAGATATGTGCTTTCGAAATATGCTTCAAGATATGTTTGGGAACCCAAACCGTGCAGTTGTATTACATGTATGCAGCTTGTAGCCGGAAAGGTTCAACTAGATGCGGCAAATTGAACGCAGCGTCTCTATTTATGTTAAATTAGAAGTGAACTCAGCTATGGCGTCGTACATATGTAGCGTTCCTAAACGACTTCATATTCGTACAATCGCAGTTCTGGTAGTTAGACTTGTACAGACCTCTGAATGATATTTTTACATGCGTTTATTACTATATGTATCTTATGATGATACGTGTAAGAAGTAGTAGACAGAAAATTTTGGCAACAAGAGCTGCTTTGGCCGTATAGGGAGCGTACTTAGGAAGCCGTATAGGTGCATAGGACAGGTTGAAGGACAACATTAAACAATACGTTAGAACTTTGAATCGACTTTACACTCCTGTATTAAGTAAAGTGTTTGAGGCTGACTACATCAGGTTTTGGCGGAGCCGTTACCGAATGCTGCGAATAAAATATACTCTACACGGTGTTGGAATTACTCCATTATGAGTCTGACAAATCGGCCTGCGCTATGTCACTAGTGGTGAGGACAACTAACTCCAGAAGTTATATTGTAATCGTATCTACAGTTTTGATATACTTTGTTGATGTTTCATGACTAAAACCTAATGGGAATCATCGACATGTGTCTAAGAACAATGCTAACACCGGTGTCACGCCCACTTCTGCAAAGCAAGATGACCGGAATTCTCCTAGAAGGACAAGCCTGCCCTAGTTATGCACGTCTAGGAAGAATTGCTGACAACGGAATTTAGACTGATAAAAAGGCCCAGTTAATTGATCTCGTCTGAACCAACATTTTCTAGTCAGAGAGCCTTTCTGAAATGAGTCACAATGAGAATTTAAAGGCGTGTACTTGAGCGATGGCCTGAAAAGCACGCTTTGTTTGGGCACGGAAACCAGTGGCCATTAGATCTGTAAGAAGAAAAACAGACACCAGTGTACACACACACACACACACACATGCACAATAAGGATGCTTTGGATTGCTAAATGCGACTTAAGCGAATAGACACGAAAATCGAGAACCGAGCAAAGGCGGCACCTCTTGACGTCGCACAAAACCTGTTCGTTTTCAATATTAAATACATTCAGTGAATAGCAGGCCAAGGGGTCACCGTGGCAGCAGGAAAAGACGGACCAAACAGCTTGTCTAGTTGTTTTTGTTCTCACAGATAGGATGGACAAAAAGTATTTAAAAAAAACTTTTCTGACCAGTAAAATTAATTCGATTTCTTTCTACGGCCTACGGCAATGGTAGAACTATTGCTGCTGGAGATTATAACACTCATACCTATAAATCTAAAAACAAAGAAATTTCCCTTGTAAAGATACTAGAAAAACTAAGTTGTCGAATCGTTACCAGTCGAGACGGTATCACATTATTTTAGTCAAACGAGGTAGCTTAGTGCAATAACCTTGTTGCAATAACAAGAAAACGACATCTACGTAGGAAGGTAACCTATATGCTTTCTGACTCACAAAACAGACAGGAAACAGAGCAACCAAGCCAAGCAACGTTTTCTTCAGAAACAGAAAACGGCACCCGTTCAAAAGTGATGATTGTTTTAAGCACAAAGTATGGTATGGTTCAGCACAGTCTGACTCTGTTTCCAGTCTTTGTGATGGTTCAGTGTTAGTGTGTTTGTTTACTCAAGTTGGGGACACGTGACGTGATAGATAAATTCGAAACTGGACTTCGTGCTAAATGGAACCAGCCGTTAATAGCAACAACGCTCAACGGCAGTTGACCGAAACGAGAAAAATCGAAATATTTTGTCCTAGATGTAGCATTTTTGAGTGCATTGCGGTAGCGGTCGTGAGTCACCGGCCTGCATGTGCGCACCGCTGATTTAAATACCAGCGTCGGCAAAGTTATTGCTGCAAATAATGTATAACTTGCTTGTTTAGCTTGTATACTTAACCCGTTGGAATGCCATATCTAACAGATATTTATCATCACGCTCAACAATTAGCTCTATGGCAAAGCAAGCGATTAACGATGGCTATTGGTTGTAGTCACTTGTTAATGAAAAACGGCCTTACCAGACCTAATCATTGAACATGACGCTGTTGAATAGGCCATATGGGTCCGATATTCTGGCTTCAATTATTCGATAGGCACAGTACGCCTTTTTTAGTTGTCGGTAATTTGTATTGGTCTAAATACTGGCGGCAACGGACTCCACCTGATGTCCGACCTTGACCACCCTGTGAAAGTCGTAGAAGCCATTTTTAATATCATGTGAATGGTATTACACGTAAACGTTGTTCTGTAAACAGCGTACGAGTGGTCGGCACCGAATTGTTACCAGCCACCGCTATGTACTAACAATTAACAGAACTCTTAGCTTGACGAAACAAATGCGCGACCCGATATATAAACCATTTAGATCGAAAGGTACAGGCGAGGCCTTTATAATCAAATGCGTGTTTATAAGGTTTTAGAAGCTTTCCAAAATGCATTGATTAATGGCAACGACATAAAATTACTTAAATAAATCGCATTATTCAATAATATAATATATAACAGCAGAAACTAAATTTCTACGCCCCTTAAAAAATCTAAAACAACCCAGAATCGGCTGGCCATGACATCATTAAACGCTTCGCCTCTGTAAAAAAGTTCTGCCTAACACTTATTACTACCATTGGTTCAGAGCACAGTCAGTGCCGACTTTGTTTGAATCATTTCTACCTCTTGCAGGCAAACATTTTGACGATACAGTTTTGTATTCTGCAAACTTCATAAACTTCTGGCATCTGGTCCTAATCTAGGAGAAAACAATGTGCCAGGGGAACGTAGCTACAGATTAGCCGTCAGGCTTAGTGATCATATTCGTAATTAAAATGACAAAACCCGGACAGAATCTGGTTCAAAACCTATACGGCTATACTAGCCATTACAGGAAGATCATGGCTTTCAAATTTGACCACAACCACCATAGTATAGGCTATTTTGAGGTTCTACAGTTAAACGTGACGCACAATTTAGAGTGTTGCGCATGTTAATATGTAGTATAGTAGTAGTATTTCTACGTGTAATAGGCACGTGACTAAAGCCACGCTCATTGGAAGCATCTTCTGCTATCGGCTAGAGCACATATTGAGTGTGGCTAGGAAAGATTGTCGATCCGCAGCAGGTTTTATAACAACATGTAACATAAGAGCATCATTCGGTCGGTGTGACTTTTTCGCTATGTCACGCGGCAATATAAATGAAGTCCATGTATCTTCTGTCACTTCAGTTTTGACTGATGATGATGATCATGCCAAGAGAAGGATTGGTCGATAAGAACTACAGT